ATATATATATATATATATTTACGAAATAAATAAATCATGAAATTAGTTTCTAATTTATGTTAAAGTTAATTTATGTGAAACTGTTCAGTTTCTTACTTTTAATCACTTCAATTTTAACATAAATGCGAACTTCCATAAAACCGGCCGTCTTTAATAAATATTTTGTCAATGACATTGCTAATATTGGCGGTACTGTAATTTTCAAGCCTTCTAACTTGAGGTACATTTCATTAGATGCTTACAACGCTCGCGAGCATTTCCTGTTTAATATTTGAAACAAAAATAATTCCATGATTGTTGTGAACGTCAAGTGGAACGCATTCTTAGAAAATACTTAATAAAAAATGCTTTATTATAGTGTTTGGAAAATTCTCGAAGTACCTATATGCAATAAGAATATGCAATCAGAATATGCATTCACAAATAAGGATTAGCATTAAAAAATTTTAAAGTGATTTTTACGTGACTTTAACAACGCTATTAAAAGTCAAACTAATATTATCATCTGATATGCCAACTTAAAACTACAATTTTTGTATAGAATATTTGTTTTGGAAATGCTTATTTCCTAAAATATTAAAGGGTTCTGCAACTTTTTATATGTATATTTCCTATATGCATGTATGCACGCTTGCGCTTAATGATAGACTATGAACTTTCTTAAATTAATTATTGAAATAAATAAATAGATAAATAGAAATAAATAAATTAATCCTTTTTCTATTTTCTAGACATTTTACAGATTTCTTGACTTTGATACCTCTAGTATTTTACATTTTTTAAACCATTATTTTTGTTATCTTTTGGAGAGAAAAAATTCAAGGCCACATACAAAAATGTTTGAAGAAATAAGAAAACGCTTGGATGTGCAGGAAATAGTGGAAGAATTGTATGCTTCTGTCTGTAGATATTAAAGAAAAAACATTCTAATTTAAATATCAAAAATTAAAATTAATTAAATACCAATAAAATATTTTATAAGTTTATTTTTAATATATTAATTCTATATTTTAATGTCAATTATAATTATATATTTGTTCATTATATTTTAATATTAAATAAATTATGAAATTTACATGTAATTGTATATGTTAAAAATCATAATATAACAGTACAAGTAGAATGTATTTAATAATGATTGAATATCATATTTATATGAATTTTAAAGACGAAAATAAATCAATAATTACTATGATACTAAGTTGACATTTTTCTTCCTAAACCAATATTGGAAATAATAGGAATTTAACTATTTTGATTATCCATATCTCCAAATTTAGCGAAAAGGTCCCGTTAGCGCACATTGCGATAACAATCCATTCACATCGATCGGTAACATTTCACTGCTTTACTAATGAAAATATTTTATTTTAAATTGGCGATGTGCGCCATTGGAACTCTCTTAATAAAATCACTAAATTTATAAAGTAATGCAATGGCTTTTCTAGACTGCGCTTCACTTAACTTATGTGGACTACGTTCCACATAACGCTCATAACGCTCGTGGAATTTTATCCCTATTGTTTATCGTATGTTAAACAAGGACAAACGATGCTTGCGAGCGTTGCGAGCGTTATGTGGAACGTAGCCCTATAAAAAAAGATTAAAAAATTAAGCATTCGATAAAAAACCTAATAACTGCCGGTAATCGAGCAAAAGAAAATAGATGTATAATTAATTAAAAAATTTGATATATATTTAAAATTAAATCGTTTTAAAACTAACGTTTCGACTCACAGAATCTTTCTCAATTGTGGCCGATATAATCGTGCAAGATTTGGAATGTTTTGAGCGCATTAAATATTCATTCATATATCATATATTCATTCATATTGGGTTGTCCGGAAAGTTCATGCCGCAAAATTAATAAATGTATACTTAAATTTAATAAATGTATACTAAAATTTAAATCTGCGTTTCAATTTTCCTTCAAAATCAGCACGAACTTTTCGAACAACCCAATATTTCAGATGACATCTTACTTATAACTCATAAGATGAACTTAATGACATACTAAATAAATTCAATAATTATTATGAACAATTGAGGTTATGAATATCTTAGCTGTCTTAACGTTTTTTTAGCTGATATTCGTAGTCGATTCTTATTTTCAAGACTATCTTAAGTAATGTCTTAAGATACTAATGCGGCTTTCTGATTCGTGACATCTTAAAACTGAACTTAAGGCGATCTTAAATATAAAAACTCTATATATATATATATATATATATATATATA